GCTGGAGCAAGTGCTGCAGGTGCTGGATCTGGGAAGGTGGGGGGTGGGAAGGGCGTGTCCATGGGCCTGATCTGGCCTGTGGCTATGCCATTCATCCAGCCTGTGGACCATTTTTGTGACACTCATCTGGCCAATCACAGGGCCATAGGAATTTGAAACCCCTGCTCTAGGGAAAGGATTTTTACATCAGACAGTCCACCCTGCTTTTCAAACTACCACAAAAAGGGGGAACTCACTTCAACTCCACTGAATGCAGAGTTGACAGGTTTCCTTTCTACCTCCCAGGACCACACAGGAACATTTTTAATAAAACTATGAACTTTGTAGAAACTGACAGAAGTCTCTCTCTCACTGTGGAAAACTATCTATTTTGCTACGGGCAAATCAATGCCTAAGATCGGCATAGTCTAAAGACTCAAAAGCTATGTGAAACCCCAGCTGTCCTTTCCTTGATCTCCTGAATGGGGCACTTCTAGCTGTGCCTCAGTTTACTCTTCTCACTGCCTCTTGGATTCCCTCAGGCCCCATTCACTCCACTACACTGAAAATACCCTCAATCACGGTTTCAAATAGTCTTTTCTTGGCCATACTGTCAAGCCAGTGATCCCTCCTCCTCATTCTTGCTTTTGTTCAATCAGTACAGTTGATTTTCTATTCACCCTTGATTTGTCTCCTAGCTTTAGCTGCTCTCAGTAGTTTTTTTCCTCCTTTCCTCCTCTTTAAGGCCCTGCCTCTAGTGTCCTTCTCCTTCCTCTGTGCTTTTGCCTGTGATCTTGTCTGTTCACACAGCTCCAACCATGATCTCAATGATGATAACTCATGCCTAGCCTACCATGCTTTACTCGTCTCTCGTTATCCAAATATCTTTCTGGTATAGTCTCTTGCTCACGTAATTCTATCAAATTCAATGAGTTCAAGTGTTTTTTAATCCCAAATCCTCTCCACTTATCTTTCTCCCCTGCTGAGAACAATGTCAGTATACTTCACCATTGTCACTCATCGCGACTTCTGAGTCACCTGCCTGCCTCCCTCTTTGTCCCATTCGTCTTGTTGCCAAGCTTCTACACTTTCCTCCAACTAAAATGCTTGGCCATGACCTGGTCATCTACAGCTTCCTCCCTGAAACCTTGATGACTTCCCCAAGTCCATGAAAAACACAACTGCTAAAAATTTCTTCCTTGCCATTCAGATCACTCCAGTTTTTTCCTCTGAAACACTATGGCAGGGGTAGGCAAAATGCAGCCTGTGGGCTGAATGTAGCCCGCTAGGCCATTCTATACAGTCTGTGGCGGGTGCAGAGATCCCACCTCAGGAAAACAGCTGGGTATTCGTATCCCACTGCTATTTCCACCACGAGGTGGGCCAGTAGGGGGCGCTCCTGCATTGAGCTGGCCACCTCCCTGCGCCCGACCACCTTCCAGGCTCCAAATGCTTCCCTAGGGGCGCCTTATGTCCAGCCGACCCCTCTCCTGGGGCACACTCGCTGGTCTGGGGGTAGCGTGACGCCACCACCCCGAAAGTGGACTGTCTCAGCCCTGTATCCTCGGGGAAACACAGGCCTAATAGTCCTACAGGTACTCAACCCAATACAGGTACTTGGGGCACTTCCCCAAGTCCAGGGGCAAAAAGTAAAGTCTCCCTTAGTCCGCAGACCTAAGGGGTCTCTTAGGCATAATTTAGACCCACCCCTCAATAAGTCTCCCACACCAGTCAAAAAGGAGAACTTTATTGATTACAAGGGGTAGGGTAAACTAGGGTACAGGATTGAGCAATATCTTAGAAATCCTAAAGAGCAAACAGTCTGGCTGTGGTAGCCTTTTGATAACGCATCTAAATTACTGCCAGCTAGATATCTATCAGATCTCGAGTAGCTTACTCACACACTTCATCCAGAGGCTGATGAGATCCTTTCTAGCATCCGGCTG